CAAGTAGTGTCCTGCAGTCAGAGCTGGCCTGCCTGATGCTGCAGTGATGCTGCATCTGTCCCGGGGTGTTTGGAAACCAGCTGCTGATTTGCATGCGCTGGCCCCTTTGCTGTTTGCCCCACTGCACTAAGTAGTTTTCGGCGTGGGAGCGAGAACAATTCTGTCTGCCCTGCAGAAAGCAGGGATAAATGAGAGGTCTGTCTTGACCCCCTTCTTGCCTCGTTATGCTGCCTGCCAGGCAGCCAGGCGTAAGGATGGAGTGCCCGGCCGTAGTGGAACAAAAAGTGAGACAAAACTTCCTGCGAATGCTGTTTCCGTCATGCATGCTGTTGTGTGGCTGTGTCCTCATACCGAAACTAAAGCAGAACAGCAGCTCTCGGTGGTACTGCACCTCACGCTTTGCATTGGATTTGTGTCTTCGGATTGTTCCAAAATGAGTCAAGGTGAAAACAGCCTACAGTACTTACACTTCACATTTTAGACGTATCTGTTACGCACACTGTACATAGCAACTCATTCTGTAAAATGTGTACCCTGTCTTCCAAAGCAAAGAAGGAGATGCTGAATGCAAGTGCTTTGCAAGATTCAAGGTGGGCTACATCTCTTCAAAAAACAAAGTTGTAACCTCACCAGAAGTTTGTGGTCAAATGCAAATACTGCTGGCTGGGTAGTTTTGTGTGCAGAAGGTTATACTAGGTGAGCAGAGCACTCTGTTTTTCCAATCTGACCATGATTCAGTTTCCTGAGGGGCTCACTCAAAAGGAGTGAACTCTTTACAGATCATCAGCTTAAATTCCTCTTTGACAGACCAATGCATTCTGTGTGCATGTGTGCATGTGTCTACATGTGTGTAAGTGCTTGAACATACCTGAACAAGTTTAGTAGCTACTTCAAGTTGTGAATTGCCCCACAGGCCCCTCTTCATTGTACTTGTTTTTGCTGGACAAGAATAGAAAGGAACAGCGAGTGGATTTCTTCTGCAGTCCAGATGGTTATCAGCTTGTGCCCTGGAGCATGAGAATTGATCACGCTCACAATTTATAAGGTAGCTACTGTAACAGGTGTTAGAAACGGGACTTCAGGTGAGGAATAAGCAGCAGAAGTAGATAATCTATTAAGACACCGCTGCTCCAGCCTGCTGCATTAGAAAGGTGAGCATGAATTTTGCTCCCTGTTTAATGCATATGAAGCTGTCAGATTAGAAACGTGTCTACAAATCATTGTATTTTACTCTGCTGGAGGTGGTGCTTGGCAGCTGACAGAAGACAGACTAGGGACTACCCTGGGATGTCGCAGAGACGAATGCTGACAGTTTATGTGGCTTTGTCTAACCTGCTTTCAGCTATTGATTTCAAGAAGTTTTTGTTGCTGTTTATTTTTACATTAGCAGGTAGGGAGACCAAGGTTGTGAATGCTTGCCAGATTTCAGCCAGCGGAGCAGTGGCACAGATGGGAGCAGAGCCAGGTCCAATGCCCAGGACAAAATTCACCCTCTGAAGCCTGTGACAACACTGGCCACCAAAAGGGCAGACCAGGAGAAAGACAGCATCCCCTGTGTCTGATCCACACCGACTGAAAGCAGCAAAGCCTTCCCACTGGTTTCAACAGTTGGTTCAGCAG